CTTTGAGTCTGGGCTCTGCCCATTGTCCATACTATATTTATTCTACGTATTTTTCGATGTATTAATAAAGCTGGCCCTGGTGGCTGAATTATAATATTAAACAATATGCTTACACGTTGTTTGGCTCTCTTTTCACCGATTACGACTTGGGATGGGATAATAATAGCAACGAGGATGATCCATTACCAAAATATCTTCCACCGACGCTAGGTTCTGGAGATTACGAGGTGAAACCAAAAAATCATAGAAGAACGAATATAGGTATGTATGGGCGAGGTAAAGCTTTTATTTACGTATAGTCAAGAACTGATATTTATATTTTCCATTCATAGATTTGGAACGCTCAAGAAAAGGCCTACCGGCACGATATAAGAAATAATGGGCGGAGCCCAGACTCGAAGAGTCATACATTTAACGAGTTTTTATTTTCGATTCATTTTCTGTATCACTATACTTTGTATATATAATGTAGGCTCGTAGAGCTATTGCTTTGCAATAAATAAATCAGGCCCTTAGGGCGTCTTGAAGAGACATTGGTTAAATAAAGATTTTTGCATATAAGTTACATTCGTAAAAAACAATTATTGTCACATGTTCTACGAACTTCTACGTCGATCTCTGATTTGCGGATTTAAAACACGTGATATAATTTTCGTCACTTTTTTTACCTGAGACGAATACAGTCTATTTCTTACCTTGTCTCCCTGAAAAGGAAAACACGAAATGAGTTTGAAAGGGTTATAAGAGGAATGGTCTTATCAATTCTCATTAGTAGCTTTATCAAAATTCATATGTCACAATGACTTAGCATTTCCCAGATCATCGCGATCATTGACTTTTTTACTTCGTAAAAGAGATCGTCGAAATTAAGGGGTATTTTACCTGTTGCGATCACAGACAAAACCTGACTCATGCTAAGCGATTAACCGAAAAAATAACGAAAAATACTTGGTTTTTGGGATAGACTGAAGGAATGGGATGCTATAAAATACTTCGTTTTTTTCTCCTGTAAGTGGGTATCAATAACGTTTTTCAGCACTAATTCCAAAGTATATACCGCTATTTATTGTATCGCTTCTTAATTAAGAT